ATTTTGGTTCAGTAAAATTTACGCTAGCTGCCTCACCCCTATTTATTTTATCTTATTTTTTCTAAAGATTTTATTTATTCATGAGAGACACACAGAGAGAGGCAGAAACACAGGTGGAGGGAGAAGCAGGCTCCCTGCCTGATGCAGGACTCAATCCCAGGACCCGGGATCACGTCCTGAGCCAAAGGCAGACAGACACTCAGCCCACTGAGCCACCCAGGCGTCCCCTCACCCCTAATTTAAAAAGAAAGAGATGACGCATCGATCCCAAATTTCCCTTCTGATTCCACGAGAGCTGGCCAGTGTGAGCAGCTTTGTCAGGGAGAAGCCTTCTTGACACTATATAAAGGGTGAATGGGAGAAAAGATGGGCATTGTTGCCTGCCTCCTCCTCCAGGCCTTTCCCACAGTTACCTCACTCCGGTTTCTGACAGCTGGGGATCATTCCACACCCCAACCTTGAGGAACCAGCCCGAGGTCCCAGAGCTGGAGTCAGACCGACAAGGTCGGACTGGCTGGCTCTAAGGCTTCCTGCCTCTGCCCCCCGCTCTGTCCACACTGCGTCCCCCACCTTCCCCCCCCTTACTTAACCCAGGTGTGTCCCTTTCTGCCAAGGCTGGATACAGAATGTTACTGGAAAGTGCTAGGGCCAAACGGGCCCTTTATTTAGGAGTTCTCCACACTGATGATTAGAATCATCTAGGGAATTAAAAAAAGTTTTGAATCCACATGTGTTGGAGTGGTGCCTGGAAGGACATTTTTAAACATTTCCCTGTGATTCTGGTCATCAGCCACTGTTGTGATCCTCTCCTTCATTTTCCATTTGAGGACATGGAGGACCAGAGAGATGACATGCCATAGCCAAGGCCACTTGGCCCTGTTGGAGCTGGTGTCAGGTCCAGAATCCAACCTCTCCGCTCTTCATTCCAGGTCCTATGTGTTTTCTTACACTGCCACCCCTGCTTGTAAGGGTTTCTACTCCCTAGGACCCGAGGGAGGCCTTCATCACCACTGCTCTTGCTGCCCCAGGCCAGAAACAGGGGGTGTGGGTGGTGGAGAAGGTAGCCAGCTTCTGCATTTCATCCCCAGGGGCTTCTCCTCTGAGAACAGGACTGCCAGGAGCTGCCCTTTGTTGACAGGCCCCAGGGACAGGCTGCCTCTGGACTGCTTGTGGCTCAGCAGATCACAGTTGGTCTTGGGAAATGCAGTAAAACGGGAACTTTTTTTTTTTTTTTAATCAATAGGGAAGGAGTGGTGGGAGGAACAGGTAACTCCAGAAAATCTACTCATCATATTTTAGGGGGGAAGTGAAATAAGAGACATAGTACCCCATGACCCCAGTTGGTACTATACGTTGCACACATTTGTTTGTTCATCCATTCGTTCAACAAATATTTATTGGACTCCCTGGGTGAGCTAGACACCGTAATAGACGTCGAAGATATACTGTAAATAAGACACATGCAGCCCCTTGCCTCCATGGAGCTTAGACCTCTGCAGGGTTAGATGACTAGAACCACATCCTTTATTGTTATTAACAGTAATGATGGTCATAGACATTTAATTTTCTCAACCATTCTGTCACCAGAGGAAATGAAAGTAGGAAGAGTGTAAGACCCTGTCTTGCCCAGGGTCACAGCATAAGGGATGGGACCTGGTTCATCCCCATTTGCCCTATGCCGCCTCCTGCCTTATGCTCCTGCTTTTTATCAGGGGCAATTATAGGAAAAGGGCAGGGGAATACAAAGCTTTCTTTGCTCTAAAATATGAGCAATCTAAGTGTCTTTGAGAATTTAGTGCCGTAGGTAGCCACAGCTGTCCTGAAGAAGCAGGTGTGCCTCTTCCAAAGTCGGCACTTTGCACTTCCCATACTTCATTTGCCCCGGCCAGCAGGACACTCGGAGCAAAGTCAGGTGTCCTCTAGGTTGACCATTTCACTTCTCCTTTACTTATAATGTATCCTCCATTACTAAGCTACGTCGAATACATTGGAAACATGTTAGAATAGAAAACAGTTCAACCAAAGGTACAGTGACCCTGACCCCCATCCATTCCTGCCCCGCACTCCCCGAGAAGTGTGTGTCAGGTGTGCCAGGCAGCTACCTTGGGCTGGACCAGGGGGTGTTTTCACCAGTCTGTGGTAGAAAAGAAGGCCTAAAGTGGTGAGTTTTGGTTTTTTGTTTTTTTCTTTTTCAAGAGAGAGAGAAACTTGTGGGGAGGGGCAGAGGGAGAGGGATAAGCAAGCTCCATACCCAGCACAGAGCCCACGTGGGGCTCACAACCCTGAGATCATTACCTGAGCTGAAATCGAGTAGGACGCTTAGCCAACTAAGCCATGTGCCAACTAAGCCAGGTGCCCCAAGTGGTGAGTTTTTAATAAAGCTAAATTTAATTTACAGAACACTTTTATAATCAGAGGGAGTCTTTGCTTTTTTTTTTTTTTTGAACATTAAAAATGTCCTTTCATAGAAAATGGTTGTAATGGAGGACATTGGTGATTGGTTGCTCATGTTGTTACTGTTTTATGCTCTTTCTTGGCAAAATGAAAAGTTGCCAGTGATGTGCCCATTTTCTTTGTGGTTTTTGTTAGCTGGTGAAATCTGAAAATTGACCATTAATTTTAAAAATTTATTTATTTTTTAAAACTCAGGTAGTTAACATACAGTGTCATATTAGCTTCAAGAGTGCAGTGTAGTGGGCAGCCCGGGTGGCTCAGCGGTTTAGTGCAGGCTTCAGTCTAGGGCGTGATTCTGGAGACCCAGGATCGAGTCTCATGTCGGGCTCCCTGCATGGAGCCTGCTTCTTCCTCTGCCTGTGTCTCTGCCTCTCTCTCTCTCTGTGTCTCTCATGAATAAATAAATAAAATCTTAAAAAAAAAAAACACGAGTACCATGTAGTGATTCAGCACTTCCGTATGTTACTCTGTGCTCATCACCGTAAGTGGACTCTTAATCCCCATCACCTAGTTCACCCATCCTCCCACCCCCCTCCCCTCTGGCAAACACCAGTTTGTTTTCTGTAGTTAAGAGTCTGTTTTTTTTCTTTGCTGTTTGTCCCTTTTTTCTCTGTTTGTTCATTTGTTTATTAAATTCCACAGATGAGTGTTAATTTAGATCATTGGTTTTCACCCAGTTCCTCTGAGCCCTAGAATTACCGAGGGGATGGATGTCTTTGCCTCAGAGTGAGGAGAGAGCCGGGGGCCCTTCCCCCATTCCCAGCTGGAGAAATTCTTCTTCCATCTTATATATTAGCTTTGGGTATGATTTTTGTTTGGTGGTGAAAGGATATCCCTGCTAACAGCCCTCTTCTGGGCTGTGCGTGTGTTGAGGGGAGCCGAGGAAGGCATGCTGTTGCTTTTGCAGGACAGAACCAGGGTGGGTCTTTCACCTGGCAGACATTATCTCCTGTACCAGTCAGGGTTCTCCAGAGGCCAAACCAGGAGAGAGAGAGAGAGAGAGAGAGAGAGAGAGAGAGAGGCAGAGACACAGGCAGAGGGAGAAGCAGGCTCCATGCAGGGAGCCTGATGTGGGACTCGATCCCGGGACTCTAGGATCACGCCCTGCAGAAGGCAGGCACTAAACCGCTGAGCCACCCAGGGATCCTAAACTAATGATTTAAATGTTGATCTTATCTAAAGAAATTCCTCCCTAGAACATCTAGACTAGTGTGTGGCCATAGTTGGAGCCATTGTGGGTACCATGGTCTTGCCATGTCGACTCGTAGAACTGTCACACCTACTTCAGTGCCCTGGTAGTCTGATAGGGGTAACAGAGGTGGGGAAAGCCAAGCTTCTGTCTCAAGCAGGCAGAGCTGCACACAGGAACAAATTAAGAACAAGACCGTTTGTATTTAAAAGTGCTAACTTCTGGGCAGCCCGGGTGGCCCAGCGGTTTAGCGCCGCCTTCAGCCCAGGGTGTGATCCTGGAGGCCCGGGATCGAGTCCCACGTCAGACTCCCTGAGTGGAGCCTGCTTCTCCCTCTGCTTGTGTCTCTGCCTCTCTCTCTGTGTGTCTCTCATGAATAAATAAATAAAATCTTTTTTAAAAAATAAAAGTGCTAACTTCTAAAGGCACAACGTAAAATATAGTTAGAGGAGATGTGAGATGAGGCCTGGAGGACCTTCGGGAGATGCCCAGTTGGGGCTGAACAGGAGCATTCAGAACTTTCAGATAAGTGAGGACACAGACTTTAGGACCATAGGATAAGAATACTTACATGTGGGGGCGCCTGGGTGGCCCAGCGGTTGAGCATCTGCTTTGGCTCAGGTCGTGATCCTGGGGTCCTGGGATCGAGTCCCACATCGGGCTCCCTGCATGGAGCCTGCTTCTCCCTCTGCCTGTGTCTCTGCCTCTCTCTGTGTGTGTCTCTTATGAATAAATAAACTGTTTTTTTTAAAAAGAATACTTACATGTGACTAGGTCTGTGAGTTTATTAAGGAATTCTTATGCATTGTTTCATTTGATGTTTGTGGCAATCCTGTTTTTTTAATTGGGGGTCCTGAGGTCCAGAGAGATTAAGGGGTCAGGAGTCACACAGCTTGCCAGTGGCAGGGTACATATTCCTTTTTTTTCTTCTTTTTTTTTAGATTTTAGATTTTATTTATTTATTCATGAGAGAGGGAGAGAAGCAGAGACACAGGCAGAGGGAGAACCAGGCCCCATGGAGGAAGCCCGATGGGGACTTGATCTCGGGACCCCGGGATCATGGCCTGAGCCAAAGGCAGATGCTCAACCTCTGAACCACCCAGGTGTCCCCAGGGTACCTATTCCTATCCCAAATCCTGCCCCCAACCTGTTCCCCCTCTCCTGGCTCTAATGAAATCCATGGGAATGTGTGTCTGTGAGGGAGGGAGTCCTCCAGGAAGGAGGGAAGAAATGTTCTCCTCACCGAGGAATCCTGTGAAACCGACAATGGACAGCTCTCTCACCCCCCGCCCCAGGTCTCCCTTTTTCCTATCATCCTTGTTAACATCCACTGTTTTGTCTTCTTGCCCATCCCCAGACACGAATGCAGAGTTTGAATCCGGATCCCAAAGCGCAGTACACAAGCGTCTATGGAGCCCTCAAGAAAATCATTCGGACTGAAGGCTTCTGGAGGCCCCTGCGAGGCCTCAACGTGATGATGATGGGCGCAGGGCCGGCCCACGCCATGTACTTTGCCTGCTATGAAAACATGAAAAGGACTTTAAATGCCGTTCTCCACCACCAAGGAAACAGCCACCTAGCCAACGGTATTTTGAAAGCGTTTGTCTGGAGTTAGAGAGCTCTCTCCTTCAACAGACCCTTCCCCGGGGTTCTCCTCCCCGTGACCCAGCAGCCTGACGCCTCATCTCCGCCGCGCTTGCTTATGAATAAAGGACTCTAGAGTCGTGTGTGCACACACACCCAGACACACGCACGCACACACACACAGGCTTTTTCTGTTTCCCCTTCTTCGCTTTCTAAAGCCTGGGGGAAGTCGGTGACAGAGGTGTTTCAGTTTGCATTGTTGCGTGGGTTTTTCATTTTTTTTTTTCTTTTTAAGACATTGAAAAGCAGTTAATGATCAGATCTAGGAAAAAAAAAAAACCCTGAATAGAAACAAAACTTTTCAATGCTGGATTCAAAAAAAAAAAGTTATCTGGACAGCTTCTTTGAGACTATTTAAAAACTGGTTCAACAGGTCCCTGCAACGTCAAGATCTAACTAAGCTTTAAAAGGTCAAGAAGTTTTATGGCTGACAAAGGATTTGCTGCAGCGCAGGCCACCTTTCCCGTCTTAAGCCTCTGGGGATTTGGGGATTTCGCCCCCATTCTCTTCTGTTGGTCTCTGGTCGAGGTTGCACATCTCTGCGAGCCCTGCGAGCAAGGGAGCAAGGGCTGGAGTGGTTTTCCTTTGTCGTTTTGAGGGAGCAGTGGGAGGGGGCTTGGGTCCGCGGGCGGCTCAGTGGTAGCTGCTCCTTCCCCCTCCTTTGGGTTTTGCTTTTGTTGGTTTTTCTTTGGGTATGGAAGGGGACTACGAAGAGCAGCGTAAGGTATCTTTATTTTAACAAAACTAATTTTTCAGCAACGAAGAGGTAGAGTGACCAGCGACAGCTTCCCCCCTTCTTTTTGTCCCACTAAGAGAGAACCCCAAAGCATCCCTTCCATCAGCAAACCCTGGTAATAATAACTACCTGGCTGGTTTGCAGACATTTATTTTGCTTTTTAAAAACAAAACAAAACCGGGTCCCTGGTTGCATTTATCAAGACAGCCCCCAAAGGTCACACTCTGATGCTGTTCCCTGAGTGCGTGGCCTCGGGGCTTGCCTTTTGCTGAAACTGCCTCGTGTCATGGTTTAGTCCTGGGTCGCTGAACCCCCTGTAGGCGGTTGGATGGAACACAGTTCTGCCCAGCGCTGTTACTGCTTTGCTGTGATGTATGCTGTGGTTGCACTTTGACCTTTCTGGTGGTAATCGTAAGTGTGTGTGGAGGGGGACGGGGGCTTTATACGCATTTCTGAAGCGTTATCCTGCTGTTGCTCATTCCTTCCCCCTTCTGGTGCTAATCTTAATTGCTGGGCAGTGTCACCTGTCTAGGGAGGAAACCCAAAGCCAAAAGCCAGATTCCAGGCCTGAATTAGACTTTTAAAGCTCCTGGTTCTTGAAGCCAGGCCAGATGAGAGCCTGAGATGGGGTCTGCCGTCTGAGACAAGTCACAGCTTTGCAGACCAACCCTGGAAACCTGCCGTATGCAGAGCTTCCTCACGTGTGCTTCCCTTGCCTGTTTTCTTGAAAATGCCTGGATTTTATTAAGGGTTTTTTTCTTTTTGAATTTCTTTTTGTCCTCCCCTCTTAGCTGTGTATATAATCGCATCCCCTTTGCTTGCCCCAGCTTGAGGGCAGATAAATTAATCTGTAGACAAAGGTGAGGGGACAAGAGAGAATTAAAACCTGGACAGTTGTCCACTGGGAAAAGCCACAAGGTGTGGTTCCTGGGTACCATCTGACGTCAGCGGGTCTAGCCTTGCCTGGCAGTGACTACAGATCTGCAAGATGAAAATATGGCTCATGGCATCTGTGTTATCGTTCCCATTTTCCCCAACAGTTCAATCATCACTTTACGTTTTGAGGAGTCAGTGCTCACCTGGGTGCCGCTGATCATAGATTTTGCTTCTTAGAAAGCTCTCTACAGCGTTCCATCTGATTTTAGGTTCCAGGAACTTCCTCAGAACCCCCGGTCCCAGAGGGTAATTTTCTGAAGTTTGTTTTGCAGGGATAGCTGGGAGTATGGCCACCCTGCTCCACGATGCGGTAATGAATCCAGCAGAAGGTAATGCTTCATGGTCCCAGGGAATGGCAGGAGGGGATGTGCAAAGGGGCAGGAAAAACTGTGGTGGTGGGGACAGAAGGTCGGGCCAGGGGACTTCCAGTCAGGATAAGCAGAATTCTTTACCACATTAGCAAAGGCCTTGAAAAGGGACTGAGCATTTGAGCTTATGGTGTAGGTCCTGATCCCTTGTACAGAGAGTGGGACTGTGATCCGGGGAGACCAACAGCGTTAGCATCTCCTCGGAGCACCTCCTGGGAGCACGTTAGGAATGCTAATTCTAGTCCCACCCCAGACCTGTTAAATCAGAATCTCTGGGAGTAGAGACAGGGAGTCTGTTTTAACAAGCTCCCTTGGCTAGTCTTTGGCACTCCTCTAAAACCTGTGTGTACATGTAATGTATGTATACACACACACACACACACACACACACACACACACACACACCCTCTGACCCTTGTTAACCTTTTTCAATCCTAGACAAAGGATTAGGGGGAAGCCGTCAAAGGCCATTCATTAGGGCTTGGGTTCAATTTGCTTTTTTAAAAGAAATCTGAAATTCTGACCATTTCAAACCTACACAGTTGTAGAGAGAAGAGTGTCAGGAATGCCCACATGTGCCTTACTCTCCTCATGAATTAACCTTTGGCCGTCCCTGTCGTAGCCAACTCCTCCCACGTTACTTTTTATTTTATTTTTTATTGTGAGTTTTGGGAGACTGGGAAACAGTTGTCAGCTGTGCAGACTGGAGTCCTTAGCCGACTCATGTCCTCACGGTGAGGGGCTTCAGTGGGGCCTTGTCCTGGGCATCCTCTTTGCAGAGTTATTCCCTGTGTGCCATGCATATGACTGTCCACCTTTGTCCCCGTCTGAAAATGGTCCCTTGCCAGAAAGGAAAATTCAAGGTAGAACATCAACATTTCAAGTCTTGTGTTAGGAGTTTTTGTCTTTTAAGGTTAAAATTCCTAATTTGCTCTCAGCTGCCTCCCATCCCCTAGCAGACAGAGGACCAAAGGACTTGTTCTGACCTGCAGGGATGTGATGGGTCAGGCTGGGAGAGGTGGGCTTCTGTTCTTGTGTGTTTAAGGCAGTGCATACAGGGATCTGGTTAGTGACCAGTTAATTAGCCCATGGCAACCAGGCAAGAATTCTGTTTCTACTTTTAAAAGAAATAAGTGAGGTCCAACTTCCTCTCTTTTCTTTGTCGTATTGACCCAAGGACTTCATTTCTTGAAAAACAAAGCAAAGCACCTTGTATGTGTTCACCTGGCCACGTGTGGGGGCTGTTAGTTCTCAGAGGCCCCAGCTAATGCCCGGTTGCCTCCTGTTCCTTTGAACCAGCCAGGCTCTTCACTGGAGTTTGTCCTGAATCCGGGCTGACTTAATGCCAGTGTTTCTCCCAAGAGCCCTGTGACACACAGAGGCTGAAAATGCTGTGTACAGGCCACGTGCAGAGAATAAAAGACGGGACACCTGTGCAGCTGGGGTGGCAGAGAGGCAGGCAGAGGGACCAGAGAGCAGGATTTAGTTCTGCTGCAGGTGCGATGCTGGAGGCCTCCAGGCCCCAGGGGGATCAGATCGGTGGTGAATCTAGTCTGAAGTGGTTGCCCAATTCGAGGACCACCTTACATGGGCTTCAGGCAGGGGGTGACCCAGCACTGGGTCCCAGGGCCACATTGGTAGGCAGGAGTGCCTGGAGCTGGCTCTGGTTTCTCAGGCTGGGGCTGCGTGTGTGCTAGCTCTCTGGGACCTGTTACCAGTGTGTCTAAACTTGCTTGTTTCTCTTTATGGCTTGGCTTCCCCTCTCACTCCGACCTGGGGTGGGGCCAAACCCAACCTACCACCCATTGACTGCCGGCGGCCTGACCACAGTTGTGAAGCAGCGCATGCAGATGTACGACTCGCCACACCGGTCGGCCCTCAGCTGCATCTGGACGGTTTGGAGGACCGAGGGCTTGGGGGCCTTCTATCGGAGCTACACCACGCAGCTGACCATGAACATTCCCTTCCAGTCCATCCACTTCATCACCTACGAGTTCCTGCAGGAGCAGGTCAACCCTCACCGAAGCTACAACCCGCAGTCCCACATCATCTCGGGTGGGCTGGCCGGGGCCCTCGCTGCCGCTGCCACCACCCCCCTGGACGTCTGTAAGACGCTCCTCAACACTCAGGAGAACATGGCCCTCAACCTGGCCAACATCAGCGGCCGGTTGTCGGGCATGGTCAACGCCTTCAGGATGGTGTATCAGCTCAATGGCCTCCCCGGCTACTTCAAAGGCATCCAGGCACGTGTCATCTACCAGATGCCTTCCACTGCCATTTCCTGGTCTGTCTATGAGTTTTTCAAGTACTTTCTCACCAAGCACCAGCTGGAGAATCGAACTCCATACTAAAGGAACAGGCTGTGGGCAGTGATTCCAGAATCTTTTATTTTAAAAAGGCTTTCCCTGCCTGCTTCCCTTCTCTTGTCCTCATACTTGGTTGAGGTTATCTTGGCAGGAGGTTTGCAGGAGGGGGGGGGAGCCCTCTGCTCCCTGACGCCTCAGGGGACAATGGGACAGCCGCTTACCGGAAGGCCGTCCGCAGGGACATCCGAGGTGGTAGATGGGGAAAGACTTTGGAAGGGGAGCGAGGAATGGCTTTTGCTCTCCGTCCCCTCGACAGGAATGTAGCTTTTCTGCCTCACTGTAGCAGTCTCCTGCCCTAGAATCAGCTCCCACGGGAGGGGAGGAAATGTGCAGTGACTGGAAACATTAAAAACAGAGAATTCTGTACATAAAAGTTCTAGTACACAGTCGAAAATAGATGGATAATGTTTATCCTTTATTTTTCTATGTAGAAGTTTTTGGCGGGGTGTGTGTATGTGTGTGCCAGCGTGTGTGTGCAGATCAGTGGTACAGCTGGGAGTATCGGCTGTTCTTTAAAAAAAGAGAGGGCTGGATTCTTCCATTGGGTTAAGTAATAAAAAGGCGCCAAAGTGATAAATTGCTGAACGTGGCCTAAAATTGTGTGGAGCCCCCAGATGGCAGTTTCACTTGAATGTAAAATAATAAAGTTTCTATTTTGAAGTTCTCTTTTCGTGGGGGTAAAAAGTACGTTGAAAACAAAATCCAAATGATGATGTATTACTTCCAGTTACTTCTTTTCTCCTTTTATTCAATCAGTCACCTTCATGTGCCTTTTCCCTCTGTCTTTCCTGAAAATTCCAGGACCGAAGACCTGGCCCTGGAGTGTCTTCTCTTGCTGTCAGCACACACGTGTGCACACATCATGTGGCAGGATGGGTTGCGTTGGAGGCCAGTGGCCCCCAGTAGGATCGGGATACCTACTGACACCATTCCCTTCTTCGTTGTGAATGATGCGAATGTGAGCCACTCTGGGCCAGCACTTAGCAGCTCTTGACATGCCAATCTTTTGTTACTTGTTGGGCAGGCAATTGGGATAAGTCCTACCTTTATCCTAGGACTTATTTCTGCTTTAGCCTTTAACTCCGGCACTCCAGATAGTCTCGTTTGTGCGTGCGCGCGTGTATGGACTAAATCAGTTTCCCTGTGTGGTTTCAGGGATTTTTGAAAAACGTAGCAAGTATGTTGATGGCTTTTGTCCATCCCTCTGTTCACCATGAGCTCACCTGTCCTGTCACAGAGACTCTCGCCTCGCAGGGACTGAGGTCAGATCCTCCGGCCAAGTTCAGCTGCGGAAGCGAGGCCCAGACCCTCGTGCACAAGTCAAGCCGCCTCTCCAGAGCTGGCTGCAGCCTCACTTATCTGCATCAGCTGAGGACTCGAGGCCTAACTGCCTTGTTTTCTGAAATGGTACATCCGAGCCAGATGCTAAGAAAAATGCAAGCTTGTTTCCTCTGGCCACGCCCTTTGATTGGCTGCCAGGCATCTCCAAGGGAAGACCAAGTGGCTTCACGGTTTCCTTCTGGAGCCCTTTAAAAATGAGTAGGAAGCACACATATGTTCAATCTGGTGGGCCTAGCCCTGACCTTCAGCCTTTGCCCTTTGCCCCTCACCTTCCACAGGGTCAGTGCAGTGCACCTCACTGAGGCCCCCACCCAGGCTCCTTTGGGGGCTGTTACTCCTGCAAAGAACTCAAGGTGGCACTGGGACAGTTTTCATCTTGCACCCTGCATACTGCCTCCAGGAGTAGTTTTGAGATCAGAGACAAGACGGTGCCATATCAGGCAGCTCCCACTCGTGACCCCTGAACAGGACCTTGGCTCCTGGGCTGGGAGGTCTCGGCTGCTGACCTGTCCTACTTTGGAGCTGACCACTCCCACTCCCTCACCTTCCTCCACCCAACCAGTCAGAAACCAGTTGCAGGATGCCTCTGTCCCACCTGGGGGTGCCAAAAGCCCATGGAAACCATGGTGCTCTGGGAAGTATTTGCATCTTCTACTAAAACATGCTGTGCGTTACTGTGAAATTCTGCAAAAGGAAGACCATTATAATTCTAAAATAATTATCCAACCGCTGTTTTTCATCCCCTTAATATATGCCACACTGCTGCAAAATATTCTTTCCTATGGGGTTTTGTTTTCGATGGTATTGAGAAAAGAAACTGTTCACTTCTCTAGGAAAACTCCTTTGGGTGAGGGATGCAAGAAGGAGAGGCAGGGAGTGGATTTGAAAGCTCTGTGGACTGAGCTGGAAGGTCTGGGAAATGGGGTGAGGCCACTCATCCTGCCTTCCCCCCCTGGACCGTCCTGAGCCTGGATGAGCCATATATCTGAAAGAGTTTTGAAAGTTGTAAAGCACTGAACAAATGTAAGTTGTCTTAATTTTATGGGAATTAATTTTCCCCCTTTGAGCTCCAAAGTTTGTGTTCTTGCGCTGTGCAGACTGCAGTCCAGTTATCAATAGTGACTTTGACATTGAGAAGTAACTAAATGGGAAAGTGTCCTCACCCCACCCCGGTGATGATCACCTTAACGTAATCATGGCATGTGCTTGTTCCTTCGTGTCTTTGGGGTGACATCCGCAGCCGGGCAGTGCCCCTTGAGTGCGTGCTCAGTTACTGCGTGGGCACACAGGCATGAACCCCTATGCCCAGACCGTGGTGTGAGATTCAGTCCCTTGTAGAACAGGGTTTTATTAACTTTGTATTGAATCTAGCTATTTACTGGCCTCCATCCTGTGTGTTTTCTGTTTGTTTGTAATGATGTCTTATTCCAAGCACTGTCCTCCAAAGGTCCCCACCCCCCAAAGCTTCGTCTCTAGCACATTGTTATGCCAATAAGGTTTTATTTAACTTTATTTAAGGATGATTGTGTCTGTTCAATGCGGATGTACTGCTGCTTCCTACCTGTAAGATGCACAGTGTAGAAGGGTGAGCAAGTATTGTTTCTTAAATGCCTGTAGTAAATAGCACAGTTTCTGCCTCCAATTGTTGGCAGCTCTCTGGAACAGGGACAAATGTGTGTTTATGTGTGGGGGTATTTCAGATTTGCTGCTACCATTGTGACACTGGAGCTAGAGAAAATAAAGCCTTGATCTTTGAAGTGTTGTGGGCTCTGTGGTGGGAATATTGAAAAGAGGAGAGTGGATGGGGAGAAGGAGGCTGATCCATGGGGCTGGTGCTTAGTCCAGCCTCACTCATGCAAAACCAGATCCATGGCTGGGATAGAAAATGCTGTTTCAGCATTCCAGAAATGGAAGCAGATCACTACGTTGGGCAGCTGAGGGACGGTCACATCATCATGCCAAAGCAAGGGCTGAGAGCCACCTCTCGCTTTGCTCTCCACCCTGGGGAGGGTGGGAGTTTTCTTTCCTAGTGTGGGAGTGTGAGGGTGACAGGCTGTGAGGATATGGGATGCACAGACCTGGTACCTGGAATGTGCCTGTTTCACACTTTGTGTGTGTGGGGGGGGCATGTGTACGCATGTGCCGCCCCCCACCCCTCTTAGAAGTTCAGTGAGGGTTCCTCTTCATGGAAAGCCCAAGAGCAACTAGAATCCTCACATAATTCCTGAAGATCACAGGTTAAGCCAGATACCTAACCTTTTCTGGAGGTAGGAGAGGGGTGGAGAGAGACCTCAGACCCTTTTGAAAAGCCAGGGGCAGGTCTTGACTCTTCACAAAGCTCGGTGGTCAGAGAACCTACTTGTAGCATCACCACTGAAGGCCGTAGCAAGGCCATTTTGAAAAGTCAAAATTGAGGGCAGACCTGAGAACCAGCCATGGGCAAGGGTGCGTGAAGTAGGGAAAGGGATTGGAGAGTGTGGAACGCTCGAGGTAAACTGGAAGCTGTGGCCTTTTACCAAAGGCCTTTTCTCAAAGCAGATCTGTGGCTTGTGGTTGCTTCCACTCCTCTGGGGTGGGTGGCAGACATGGGGGCAGGGGGCTGTTTCCAGAGCATACATGTCCATCCTCCTCTGTGTGCCCCATGAAGTCAGTCTGCCACCCAGGCTGGAGTCCATCCTGTAAGCAGAGCACCGTGTCTGGGGCCTTGGGGTAAACAGCCAAGTATACCCTGTGGTTCCTGCCCTGTCCAGCCTTAGGCAGCCCAATAGGGGAACATAAGGGAATACACAGAGGTAAAACAGTAACGTAATGCCACTGGGTCAAACTCCATGGCCATGATTTTCTTGGCCCTCTTATTCATGACTCTGTCCCCACTGGTAGTTTGCCAGAGCCAGCCCCTGCACCCAGCTCCCTGGGGCAGACTCTAAATTTCCTGCCAGCTTCCTGTGTCATGCTGTCATGCTGCTATTTTGAAATCAGGGATGGCAAGAATATTTGCACCACAGAAATAGGCATGCGCTACAAGTCAGGGCTTTTTTTCTTACCAGCTTGCCAGTCTGCTACAGCTGGTGCACAGCCCAATGCTCGGCACATGGCAGGTGCTTGGAAAATGTGTGCTGAAAGAAACTTTTCATTTTCCACCAGTTCCCTTTCTAGTGCTGGACCCTCCAGTTCTGCCCATGGCAGAGGCCCTGTTCATCACAGTGGACCCTCTCCAGCACATCCATGCTCCTCAGATGCCAGCCCCAGAAAAGCCATCAAGGGAAGCAGGTTCCTTTCCTGCTGGGCCTAGGTCTCCTTTCTATCTGAGTTCTCGGGAGAGATGCCAGTCCTACCCACGAGAGCGGTCTTAGGGAACAAACAGCTCCGAGAAGAATGTAACAAGCCCAGAGTTGTGCAAGAGAGAGACAACCATGGGAGGGTGTGCAGGTGGGCTGGTACTGCTCACAGGGGAATGAAGAGTTGTCTTTGGTCTGAGGCAGAGGCAGCCGTGGGCTAGGAGTGATGAGTGCAACTAGAGAGAACAGCTTAGTGTGTGGCCATCTGAGCATTGTAGGGGGTGCTCCAGTGGTAAGCTGCAAATCGGAGCTTTGACTGCCATCAGGAGTTTGACCTTGAATCAGTAGGTGATGTGGAGCCATTAAGGGTCTTGGAGCAGAGGACACCGTGAGCTCGGCTTTAGGAAGAGTCTCTGGCAGGAGTGGACAGGATGAGGTGGAGAGGGAATATTGCGGCCCCGAGATGGTGGTTTGGTGCCACAGTGAAACCACCTAGAAGTGGGATAATGAAGGGAATGGCAAGGTGACCAGAACAGAGTGCATGTAGCTGATAAGCATGTAAAAGTGGGATCTACAGGGCTTGGGGGCAGGGTGCACATGACTGGACGGAAAGATGAGAATGAGAGCTCACTGTCTGAGAGCAGGGGTGGTGTCAAGGGGGAGACTTGGCCGGGAGGAATAGCAGGTGGTGGCAGAGAAGGTACCTTGTCTCGACATCCAGCCATCTCTTCCAAGCCCTGACTCCCCTCCAGCATGCACAACACCAGAGCTTTGAGCTCTTAGCTAAGACTAAGAGCTGCCTCTTTAGCTCCCCTCTCCTGGCTTCCATTTTCCCGCCCTCCTTCAGGCTATCCACCTTGACTACCATCCCCTGGCTTCAGTTCCTTTCTGGGCCACCTAGCGCTGGCTGCTCGGGAAGCTTCTGCCTTTGCACCTCCTGTCTCTCTTCCCTCTTTTGGTGCTGGCCTGCCTTCATAGCTTCAGCTGGCCCCTTGAGAAAGATGGTTCCCAGATGTGGGATATAGCACCCCAACTTCTCTCCTGAGCTCCAGATCTAAATGTCCAGGTGCCTGCTGGAGATCCTCCAAATCTTAACATTTGTCCCCTAGTTCCAAGAGACTCCTGCCCCCTGCTGCCAGAGGCTTACTGTGCTACTCACTTGCTCAAAACCTTCCAAGGCTCCTCAGTGCCCATTGAATTTAAGAATAGGCTCTCCTAAATATGCCAGTACCTGATTTAGCTTCCTGTGTGAATGAATAAAGAGAAACAGAATAGGATAGCAGGATAGATGTATGAGATCTCAGGTCTCAATCCCAAACAGAGCAATGCTGCCTTCTTTCCAGATCTTTTTTTCTAAATTTTATTTTATTTAAATTCAGTTTATTAACATATTAGTTTCAGAGGTAGAGGTCAGCACTTCATCAGTTGCATATAACACCCAGTGCTCATTACATCACATGCTCTCCTTAATTCCCATCACCCAGTTACCCCATCCCCCACCCCCTCCCATCCAGCAACCCTCAGACTGTTTCCTATGATTAAGAGTCTCTTGTGGTCACATTCAATGCAATCCCTATCAAAATACCATGGACTTTCTTTTTAATTACTTTTTATTTTTTTAAAAAGATTTTTATTTATTCATGAGAGAGACAGAGAGACAGGCAGAGACATAGGCAGAGGGAGAAGCAGGCTTCATGCAGGAAGCCCGATGTAGGACTCGACCCGGGGACCCTGGGATCACACCCTAAGCCAAAGGCAGACACTCAACCACTGAGCCACCCAGGTGTCCCTGGTGACCGTGGACTTTCTTCAAAGAGTTGGAACAAATAATCTTAAGATTTGTATGGAACCAGAAAAGATGCCAAATAGCCAGAGGTATGTTGAAAGAGAGAACCAAAGCTGGGGACATCACAATGCCCCACTTCAAGTTGAATGACAAAGTTGTGATCATCAAGACAGCATGGTATGGGCACAAAAGCAGACACATAGATCAATGGAACAGAATAGAGAACCCAGAAATGGACCCTCAACTCTGGTCAACTCATCTTCGACAAAGCAGGAAAGAATATCCACTGGAGAAAAGACAATCTGTTCAATAAATGGTGTTGGGAAAATTGTACAGCCACATGCAGAAGAATGAAACTAGACCATTCTCTTAACCACACACAAAGAAAAACTCAAAATGGTTGAAAGATTTAAATGTGAGACATGAATCCATAAAAATCCTAGAGGAGAACATAGGCAACAACTTTTTGAACTTGTCCACAGCAACTTCTTGCAAGACACAATCTATGAAGGCAAGGGAAACAAAAGCAAAAATGAACTATTGAGACTTCATCAAGATAAAAAGCGTTTCCACAGCAAAGGAAACAGTCAACAAAACTAAAAGACAGCCTACAGAATGGGAGAAGATATTTGCAAATGACCTATCAGATAAAGGGCTAGTATCCAAGATCTATAAAGAACTTAGCAAAGTCAACACCCAAGAAACAAACAATCCAGTCATGAAATAGGCAGTAGACATGAACAGATATTTCTCTAAAGAAGACCTACACATGGCCAACAAGCACATGATTAAATGATCCATATCACTTGCCATCAGGGAAATACAAATCAAAACCACAATGAGATACCACCTTATACCAGTAAGAATGGCTAAAATTAACAAGATAGGAAACAAATGTTGGCGAGGATGAGGAGAAGGGGGAACGCTCTTGCACTGTTGGTGGGAATGCAAGCTGGTACAACTACTCTGGAAAACAGTGTGGAGATTCCTCAAGAAGTTAAAAATAGAGCTATCCTATGACCCAGCAATTGCACTACCAGGTATTTACTTCAAAGATACAGGTGTAGTGAAGTGATTGGGACATCCACACCCCAATGTTTATAGCAGCAATGTCCACAATAGCCAACTGTGGAAGGAGCCACGATGTCCTTCGACAGATGAACAGGCAAAGAAGATGTGGTATATGTACACAATGGAATATTACTCAGCCATCAGAAAGGACGGATATCCTTTCTGATGTGGATGGAACTGGAGGGTATTATGCTGAGTGAAATAAGACAATCATTATATGGTTTCACTCATATGTGAAATATAAGAAATAGTGAAAGGGACTATAAAGAAGAGGAGGGAAACTGGGGAAAAATTAGAGAGGAAGACAAACCATGAGAGACTCCTAACTCTGGGAAAGAAACAAAGGGTTGCTTTGTTTTGAAGGGGAGGAAGGTGGGGGATGGGGTAACTGGGTGACAGGCACTAAGGAGGGCACTTGATGGGATGAGCACTGGGCATTACACTATATGTTGGTGAATTGAATTTAAATAAAATATTTTTTAAAAAAGAGTCTCTTATGGTTTATCTCCCTCTCTGATCTCATCTTGTTTTATTTTTCCCTCCCTTCACCTATAATCCTCTGTTTTGTTTCTTAAATTCCATAAGTGACATCATATAATTGTCTTTCTCTGATTGACTTATT